GTATATGAATGAACTGACAAAATATTACTGGATACATATGCCTGATTAGCGGTGAGAAGGGCGAGACACAGTAACGCAGTATCCGCTTTGAGAATGTCACCTTGATTGGTGGTGAAACGCCTGCAATACAATTAGCAAGCTCGGCGAACAACTGGACGTCATGTCTACATGTATTTATATATATCCTGGTTTTGGTTCCGCTAGATATTACAGGAGTATCGCATCGCTCAATCAGTTTCGGCGAGTTTTGAAGGCATCATGTTTAGGGTAGAAGTGTTGTACAATGCACGCACAGGCTATAAATACAAATCTTAAAGCTGCTTCATTGCGACTGAGTCTTTGTTTCAAAGAGCACACACCATCGGTGTTGTAACAGTGTTTGATATGGCGCATGCACGCAGAACTATAGGGTCAAAAATAGAAATCCACATTGTTTAATCATTTTTCTACTTCATACTCCGAACAAAGTTGCTTCACAGGTCATAGATGATTGCCTCGAGGGGAAAAAGTAAAACGTGCACATCTATGCATATGCATGAGACAACGGTGAAAGTGTACCGGACATTTGAATACGTTCACACGAACGTGATCGAATGTGTGCCTGTGTGTATGCTGGTCTGTTTCGTTCCGGTTATCGAAAACATTCATGCACGGGTAAAGAAACGTATTTGACTTGAAGTTCGATTCCCCGCGGAGGGGGTATAATGCCTCTGTGGACTAGCTTCGGAACCCCTCTGTTGGGTTGCGCGGCATAGCACAGCGTGGCGCGGCCCCGGGTTACCCGCTTACGGGGTGGGCAGAAAGCTACAAAAGAACAGGGCTACAGAGAGGAGTGCAATTTTCGGTCTATTCGGACATCAACTGTGGCAACAGCAACAACAACAACAACAACAACAGGATGGGCGCTAAGGCAGGAGCCGTAATCGTCGACCTGTGTAGTCCTTGAATTGTAGTGCTGCCAACGGTAAGGGTGGGGGTGATGGTGTCGATCGAGGTATGGATTCTGGTGAGCTAGATGGGGAGTCTCCATAGTTGACATGTTATGAACACACGCATCAACACACTTGAATACTTCCTTTGTCATTTTGACAGCCTATCACATGAAGCTGAAGTTTAGTTTGACGGCAGATTGATCCCGTCAGCTGCTACGTGATGGTGCGCACAAGATCTTCTAACCCGTCCATCTATCCATCCGTCCGCCCGTCTATCCATCTATCTATTTACGAATAGCCAAGTGGGTATGGTTTTGGATTCCCTTTGAGGGTGGGCCTGGTCGAAAAGAGTCAGTGATGGGGTGAGGGTTATGATCGCCTCCAAACAAGAGCGGGACAGAGATAGACGTAAAACAAAAGCATGGCTGGAATAGCAACAANTGACAGAGAAGCACCAAGACGTGGGACGGGCACATGCATGTGTGTAAGGATTGCCACAAAGCAGAGGACAACGCTTAGACACACATACACGCACAACGAACAGCTAACACCAAGGGGTGACGATGAGAATAACAACCACGGCACAAAACATGAAATGAGTTACATTCGCGTACCGATGAAGCCCCGGAACAAAAAGAACCTCCCACTTGCTGTTGTTGTTGTTCTATCTTTATAGCATTTCGAGATATGATGTGAACGGTTTGGCCTCGTGTCCCCGGGTGGCGAGTATTTGCCCTAACTATTTCAACACAGATGTACACATGCACATTTGTACACGCATGAAACACTCGGGTAATGTGAGACCATCGTGCACAGTGCAAACTCAGAATCGGACAGAAGTTCAACAAATTCTGGGCGAAAAAATAAACATCTCGATATAGCTTCCATTGCAGTAATTTCATCTGTCTATCCAAAACAGAAAACTGAGCTTAGCAACGTTGTTTAAGGGTGTCGTTCTTGATGACAATGAAACTTCGGTTCCACCAAGTTCTCTCTTACACAAAATATAACAATTCGAAAATGTTAACCAATGTTGTCCGTTTCCACACTGGATTGTTAAAATTAGACTGTTACCATTCCAAGGCTTTTCATAGCAATATAATTGAATCCCTGAAGCATAGCCCGTATGGCTTTGTATATTCCCGCTGATTGTAAATGTACCTGTATGGATGCCACACTGGCATAGGGTGGGATCCCCAAAACGTGTCCTTGAATAGAACACCGTATGAGAGAACACGATTTATTCCTGGCGCTTCATTCCAATGCGGAACAGTAATCAATATACTTTGAACCAAATTATTTTTAGAAAACTGAAACATTTATTTCCCGAGATAAACGTGAAGAGAGGGAGAGGGAGTTAGAGGAAAACGGAGCTAGTTTGCACTCTTGGTATCAAGGTCGATTTCGCTTCAGTAGACGGTGACACACTTTTTACTAATGTACTACTGCTCGAGACAAGCGAATGCACTTCATAGTATATTGGGCAGCACACCCGGAATGTTAGCTCACCGATTTCTAACCTGGAAAGTCACCTTTTCCTATATACATCAGATGTCAGTTTCAGTTTCCAAAGCGGCAAAGACTCAATGACAACGGTAAACCCATTGGCATCTTTCATCGCGAGCCGATTCACCACAAAGTTAGAGAACGAGGTGGTACATGACTTGGATCAGTTGTATCTATATAGGATACACATTGATCATGTATTCAGCATGAGAAAAGGTCATCGTCATCAACAACAACAACTGATTTCTTTTCGTCGAGTCAAGATCGGTTTACACAGAATGTGCATTTCTTGTTGGAAGAAGAACAACATTCCCACACATTCTAACGGCAAGAAAGCAGGATGGAACGATACGTAGGACTGCATATCACACACCAGAGTACCTGGACGGGCAAATACCCACATTTCCCTAGTTTTTCACGCCGATCACTTACAAGCGTGGTGTAGTAAAAAAGCAATTCCATCGAACCCTTCGCGTCTGCACCGAGAATAGCTTACTAGCGCAGTTAGACAAACTCCAAAATAGTTTTGAGCACATGAGCACCCGGCAAATATAACAAGAAAACGGACAGAAACCAGTGGTATATAACATCGCTTTAAAGAAGGTTTATCTGTGCCTCGTTTTCAAAGGTGATGACAGCAGCCTGCTCATCTAAGACCAATTGACGGTTGTAGTGAAGTGCAATCTTATTCCTGTCAACAACAACAACACGCCCCCTCAATTCATTCACAAATCAACGTAACATACCAGTTCGAATGGGGATGCGGAGTATACTACACTGGCAGAACAGGTAGGCGGTTTCATGCACCGATCAAGGAGCATAGTCTGTATTGGGTTAGATCCCTGTTAATCGAGTCACATGATTCAAGGACATTGTCCCCACAAACCCCCAGGAGTATCATCCACCATTAACATAAGCACCGGACACCATTGCCAACAACCACTCTTGGCCAAAGAATGTCGAACACGTGCAACCTGCGTCATGTATTCTTTTATTCTATCCATTGATGACAAGACACGGTCTGCACCCGAAAAACCGATTTAGAGTCAGTTATGCTCACACTAATCCAAGGCTTCTCAGGATCACGGAACCGGCTGCAACAAGACCGAACTAAATACTATCACTGTCTTGACTGTATTAAAAATTGTAATCGATCACTTGGCACTGCCAAGCGATATAGACTGCTGCATTCTGCCTCATTTTACCAGATGAGACGCAGCGAAATCTGGCCTGGCTTAGGCCGTACCTCGTTGTTCTTTCTCTATGTCTCTCTCTGCAAAATACGTTCAGATTGTTTTTTAAATGTGCACTGTGCTGATCAGAACTGTGAACAGGATGGCAGTGGTCATATTATTATAAAGCTACAAGTTCGTTGTTAAACTGAGAAATCGTCTATTATGGGAATGAAATGCGTAGACTCTAAGTCGGATAACCAGGTCGGATGAACAAGTGATTGGAAACAGACTCTGGGTTAGATTATGTGTCTCACAGATGCATAGGAAATCCGTGATTGTACGGCTGCTACTGCTCAAAGACGTTGTACGAAACTGAAATATGCTTCAAAGCGCGCAAAGCTAAATATTGCGGGTATACGATGCGAGTAATGCATGAACGGACTCCCGCTTCAGGTGAGGCTAGTGCTGAGATGAACGAGGACCGATACTCGCAACAAACTCGCCTAGCTGGGTTGCGCTATAACTTGTAAATTCAAAATGAGAAACGGTGTGATCAGCTGCCCGGTTGCAAGGGGTTAGTATGCTTGCGTTCTACCTGTGAGGTTCCGGGTACGATCCCCAGTTGGGTCGATGGATTCGCTCACTGGTGATTAAATCCAAACCAGATCGAAACAGCTGTCCAGTTCCTGGTAGCTTTTAAACTCACACCTCATTTACACGACGAATTCATCATAAATGAAATGAATATCTTAAATTGTTAAAATTGAACTCGGTGATTGGTGAATAAAGTGTACTGGCTAGTTCGGATAAGTTATGCGATGATCGATAACGTGATGTCACCATCTGTTGGTAATCAAAATACTCTATCCTAAGTACCGAACTGTGGAATCGCATGTGGCATAAAAGAAAAATGTTTTCCCTATGATACTGTGCGCCAAAGATGTTGACCGTCAACCATGTGGCTCACTCAGATGATACGAGTACTGGTTTTCAACTCGAACCGTTCCGGTTCAAGTCCCGTCCGGGTGTATAGACAGAACACAAACCGTTGATGCGTCCCAACACAAACGACACAACCACTGTCCAATGCATTTTGTTGGCCATCACATATGACTTGTCATCACACTTCAAACACTGCGAAATAAGCAACAAAATACCATGAAGGGAGACCCAAACAAGAGCACAATATGCCAACTTGGAAAACAGCAAAATTTTCCATTTCATTTCACCGTACCTGTTTTAGCAGCCTTGTTTGGAGCTGAAAGTGAGAGTGAATGGAAGATGAATTCTATTCTATTGATTTAGGACCACGTGACTTATGGAAGCGTGTACTGCCTGGATTTCTACTCGCATCAAATTGGTCTCATTGTTAGGTAAATGAACCTACCCAGAATGCCTTCGACTAGTTTTTGCGTATGCTCATCCGGTGGCCCAATCCACTGACGTCGAGCCATATCACCTCGGGATCGCATCAATTCCTTGTACTCGGAAATGCGTAGTTTTCGACCGTCCACGATACACGTGCGTTTGGGGCGGGGTCGATACCGATAGGCCGGATGTTCTTCCATGTGCTGACGACTGAGTCGGGTTTGTTCTTCGTAGTAGGGTTGCTTGGCCTCTGAACTCATTGCTTTCCACTTGGCACCGAGGAATTTGGATATGTTACTATTGTGCATGTCCGGGCAAGCCTTTATCCGGGAGAATAGTGGTATGTTTAAGGTCACAGAGAAATCGGAATTAGTAAGGACTCCAGCATTTGCCTAGTAATTTTGGAGTTCTATTTTTCAATCTCGATATTTTGGTCTACATTGTTCTGAATTGTCAAGCTTAATAAGCAAACATTTTGCTCTTGAATTATTCAGCAAGCAAATTAGCTTAAATGCTTTTGGTTTTATCAGCCTTATATGCCTGGCAGTCAGTACCTTTAGCATTTCTGTACCTGACCCGATTCCTCATAAAGTTCAAAGCCAGTTGATGTCTAGACGATGCCCACTTTCAAAAAATATCCCATTGCTCTGATCAAATGGGATGCAATTGATCACACCGAGAGTTTTAGTGCTGGGTCAGATAAAATACATCTGTTAGAAGTATGGGAATAAATTCACACTAATACTACTACTACTACTACTACTACTACTACTTGACTTGACTTAGCATGATCATCACATAACAAGTAAAACTGATAGGGCCCCATTTTCTTGACGCAAATAATCACCTGAGTATGGATTATTAAACCGTGATTGTAGTTTACCGGTTTGGTTAATCTAACTGGCTCTCGTGGAAGGTGAGTGCCGAACAACCTCCGGTTCGTAAGTCTGATCAGTCTAGTGTCACCTGGTGGGTCCAACGATGACCTACATGCTTTCCATACGAGCCGTATGGAGTTCAACTCCCGGATATGTGTTCTATTGATGAGCTCTACGAAAAATGAAACTAATACTCCTCGAGTGCGTGTACAGTTGGCTGATGATTGTCTTACGCATTTTATTTGCGAGTGTGCATAAACATTCGTACTGGGATAGAGAATATTTAGAATAAAGATGCTGGCAAGCTCAGAACGTATGCTTCCAACAATCAGATAACATAGACCGCGAAAGCCTCATCGTTGACCAGCAATTAATCGTCCGTAAATGTTTAGTGCACCGGATAAATTGTGGTAAACAGCCCAATAAAGTGTGGATAAACGATGTATACTACCTCCCAGGTTTCCACCTCGGTGGTGGTAGAGGGTGGTGTGTGTGTGTGTGTGTGTGTGTAAAGGGAGAAAACAGGGAGAAGGGGTATGGTAATTTATGTGCACAGAGAGACTGGTGCCGTTCACTGTTCTCGGCAAAACTCCACGATGAGTTTAGTTGACAAATTACTGGACACCTGGAACCGTTCCGAGTGACCATAATGGCGGTCTTGTGGAAAGCTTATTTTCTACAATTGCATCTGTCTAGTGGATAGTCAAATCGGATCATGCACATCTTGACGAGAATTTAAAAGAGAAAAAGAAAATTCGTGTGGACATTCATGTTTTTTGCGAAAAAGTTTTTCTTTGAAGAAAATTTAGTTGCACAATATGACCAATGTCCACGATTATGATTTTTCAAAGAAAATAGGTTAAATCATAACTGATTTTATTACCCATCATCGTCCTGTCACATTTAATTGAATGACCTCGTTGAAAACGATGAATGAACATATTAGGCTCCAATCCGGTTGTCAACTTAGGTGAGTATGTATCCCTGATGAACTCAGATCGAATCTCAAGTTTTCTACTTCTCAGAATTGGATAGCAGTCAAAATTCATGCTGTGGTACTGCCCATTGAACCGCAAGGAGTCATCATAGAAGATATTGCTTTAAGGATTGGAGCTCTAGATGGTAACAGTACACATCATATGCTGGAGAGAGAAAGACTTATGCCACCACAGGAGCTATCTTGGCTTTGGAGACGGTCGTGTGAGGGACTTATCACCGGGCTCGTCCAGGGTCACAACTTTAACCATTCTAGACCGNTTTCAGCCCCGGCGTAACAAAATGGCATTATATGATGAATCATCTGTGAAATCATTTATTCTCTGATTACTCACATTCATGCACTTTTTGTCAAATCTAATGATGCGTAAAATTAGGAGAATTGATGATCTAGGGGTGTACTCAAGCGATTCATGCCGGCGAGTAAACTGAGCAGCCGGAAAGCAAACCTTTCATTGGTGAATGCGCCGCTTTGTTATGCATTTCATGTTATCCCATCTTGCTTCTTAAGGGAACTCCCTCGCTCTCTATAATGGGGTGTAAAGATGGTTTAACTATTATGCAATGCCTAAGTGTGATATTCTAATGATAATGTGTAAAAAATCACCGCTCCTCATTTGATGTTACAATACATGGGGGCCTGTCGCACAAGTGTACAAATTCGAATCCTATCAATAACAAGCTCAGTCCTCTGTTGCTACAACAATCATCATGTAGTTTCAATTCCAAAGAATTGAGTGCAACTAAACATTTTCTCTTTCAGTTTCTAGGTAAGAATGAAGTGAGGGGGGATAACATGATTCGATGCTTTTTTGTACGAAGGCATTCTTATGTACCTTTAGGATTTTTCGTCTTTCATCTCTTGCCCATATCATGAATGCGTTCATGGGACGTTTGATATGAGTTGCTTTTTCCAGTCGCGAATCAGTTCCGTTCCGAGCGGGTCGATTCAATTTGACCCCGGCAGTCGGCTCACTGAGATTTGACTGAAGTAGAAAATAGATCATGTATTAGAGTGGTGAATGCTCCGAAACTGAGTCAAAACCATGAAAACATGTAGACGTTTAAAGATTCATGAAGTACATTAAGCTTTAGGTTACAAATTCAATCTATTGATTTAGCTCATTGTGAAGCGTGATGTCATGGTTATTATGTAAATCCAATGCATGCATTTGAATCAACAGCCGATGACATAACTGGAAACATGGTTGGAACGCCAGTCATTCTTCAATGCAACGGGTCACATCTGTTGCACACTCACATAGTTGATTCGTCGCCGAATGCCGGTGTCATTCATTTTCCCTCAGAGTTTGTAGTATCTGGAATTCCCCACCACCTCACCACCTTGTTTCTGCGCCCACAATTGATTCATTCAAGTAAAAACTGGATGAAACATTGTCCTGTTTTAAATTTCCACATCCGTAGCAGTACACAAAGCAATGGAAATTTGTGACATTCGTCATCTCTTTGTGAACGGTAAATCGATCCAGCTGTGCGAAATGAAAACCCCATGAGGTAAAAAAGCAACCGCTAGTAAGTAGTCCTCATAACAAAACCTCGACTTTGGACTGGTTGTTGTAATTCACGCAATGGTTAAACCTTCTCCATAAATTTATGTGCAACTATCTTCCCAGCTCTGTGCAACGCCTATGCTACTGGGATCTTACGAAATTCGCAAATTCGCTAATTGGCTAATTTCCGTAAATGGTTAGGACGTTCTACTGGCGTCATCCCAGTAAGGTGTATCAGCGAAAAGCAATATGTGCGTGTAAGTTGGTGGGAATCGCTTCTGACCGGTGGACAAACTTATCACGAGCTAGAAGAGTTCGATGAAGTGGACTTCAAGCATATGACTGGGGTGGAGAAGGCATTTGCTAATCTCGTGTTACACGGATTTTATAGTTCGGTGAAAACATCGTTTGAGAATTGGAAAGAATGTGTTTGTAATTGGACGCTTTTAATGCTGTTTTCGGCAGTGTGTCTATAGGTCAATTATAGTGATTCGACTTATAGGGTTTAAAGAAATCGCTGACAGTTATCCGAATAACAATAAAACTACAGATACATACAAACATATACATGTATATAGTAAATATTAAATCATTTTTTAAAAACACTTATAATTATCTAAATATGAACGCAGTTTATTCGCACATTTCTTGTATCAAATTAGCACATGAATGCTAGGGAACTGAACTGTAATTGGATCGTAAACTGACGTTTGATAATACTCTATTGATTCACTTTGAAGCTAAACACAAGCACACACCCAAGGGCAAAAACCACAGCTGGTCAATGTTTCGGCTTACCTCACTGGATTTTGATGCAGCCGACTTGCTTCGCATCTCATGTTCGATCTGCTTGGAACCGGGCACATCCTTGGGCGAATGTGAAACCGTATTCAACTCTTTCATCTCGGAATCTAAGCAAACTGGCAAATTGTTCGATGTGTGAGTGACTGTAGTCGAGCCAAGCTCATCCAATGCCTGAGCCACATCGAATGGATTCGATTGAGCAAACTGAGCGGATTTGCCCAAGCCGAGCTTGTTCGAATAGGTATCATCGGTGTGCAAGCCGTTTGTGTTGGCTCGATGGATGTTGCCAGTGTTGTTTGTCAGTGAAAAATTTTCGTTAAATTTGGGGAAACAATTCGGGATCGGACTGATGTTATTAATGGAAGTCCTCAGGGGATCGTAAATGCAACCCCTTAAATGCTCGGGATCTAACGGAAGTAGTTGATCTGGACAGGAATTTCGGGTAAATTCATTTGTATCCAGACGATTGTCCAGTAACAGCCCTGAGGCCGAAAGGGCTTGCTGAATTCCTTCGGTGAATCCGGTGGAAGTTGTAAAAGGCCCTGTGAAGGGGAATAAAACTGATTCGAAGGGTAACACAGTTGATTCATCAGCTTTGTGGTTGTTGTTTTCCGTGACTGTATGCGGGATGCTTGTTTGATTCATAGTTGCGGTACCAGAAGCCATTCGGGTACTTTGATTCAACGGCAATCCCGTACCACCGGTGGTAACCATCGGATCAACCTGAATAGGACTACTTCGCGTGAAGTTGGATAAGCCCATGGAGCACATTGGGTTGAGTAATGGTAGGTTTGGATGTAGATCGCTTAGTTGGCTTGATGCATGTGTACCGGTGGTGCCAGGGGTGAGGTTAGCAAATGGGAGCATATTGAGAGTTCGAATCACGGAAGAGAGTAGGGCTGAGTCCACCATGCAAGGATTTGTTTCGTTGACGAAGGCACTTAAGGCAGTTGTTGTAGGTAATCGAGTCCCGTTGGAAAATGCACTGGAGTACGGATTCAAAGGATCGTACAAATGAGAGGGTGTGTGTGAAACGGGACTGGCGTTTGTAAATTGTGATTCAGTGGGCATGGATGAACGATTTGAGCCGGGGGTTTTCGCCGGAATTGTTGTTGTTGTCGTCGTTTTGCTAGTTGGACTGTGTGGGAAATTGCTCGTGGTGACGTTTGTGACACTGACACTTGTCTTGATATGATTACCCCCGTGATTGTCTAGACCGTTCAAGGCAGAAAAGTTCCATGGACCAAGGCGTTTGGGCAAATCGGAGGTGGTGCATTCCATGTCAGATTGCAAGTGTGGATACAACTGAAATACTTCGTCCAATTTTTCTTTGAGGTAGCGCAACTTTTGTACCGGAAAGTAGACTAAGGGGGAACATGACGCGCTCGTTGGTCCCGAATTGGTCTGTGTGTCAGACTCCGGGCATGTGGATTTCATTGGCTGAAAAGATGAAAGCGAGGAAATGAAACGTTCCGCACATTCTCTTCGGATACAGTATTGGATGAATATAAAATTAAATAACATTTGGTTGGAAAGTGAGACCCCGGAAGGGCAACGAAAATCGAGCAGGTTTTGTTCCTCGTTACGAAATATACCGCTGTTCAAGTGTATGTATGTATCATTTAGGCTTCGTCAAATGGGAAAAGAGGTAAAAAATATAATTTTCTTCGAGAAATTATCCTTAACATTGATGCAATTATGACATGAAATGGAACTGTAGTAAGTCTGTTGCAGTAGATACGTGAACGCAATTGTTCCACTTCATCAGTTTTCTTGCACTCTTTTACATACAGCCAAAGTATTTCAGTTGGATAAACTGTCAGTGGTGGCACAACACAGATGCACATGTACCCAGAGAGCGAAAGAAGAAGGTTGGGGAACAATAGAACAAAACGTGTGTGGCGTTCATTTTCCTCGAGAAGTTTTTTAAAAGTGAGCTTTTCAATGCCGATTTTGGAGAGTTGGCAGGGTAGGTTGGGTCACACATCGGAACTGTGTGTGCCTATTTGTCATCGATAAACAGAACTGCACTCCCCTCCCCCCCCCCGCGCTGTCGGACCGCTCCAACTTTGTTCGAGTTTATGGATGAGGCCTCTGGTTCGAAGAGAAACCAACACATTGGACTGTATGGGGCAAGGTTGGTAGTTAAGACAATTGATGCCATGGTGTCGACGCGCGTGCATTGAACTGCAATTCGGTTTCTTCGACAGTCGCGTAAAACCTGTCAGACCAGTGTGTCAAACCCCACAGTGGAATGATGCAATCAAGGTACCTCGATGTCTCTCAGCATGAGATCACCTCGGTCAAATGAAACAGACGACCCAGAAAGAGATTGGGTTTAGCAGTTAGGGTATTGTCTATGATTGTACGCATGTTAGGATAAGTGCCAGTATGTGTGTGCATTCATTTTTGTTCGGTTTATAACAGAGGCTGGTTACTCTTTGGTCCCTTTACCCCGCACTCACGGGCATGTAACCACCTACCTAGCTACGCACGCATATACGCATACGCAAACAAACACCAAACTGTCAATCTGCATTCATTGAAACAGACAACACACTAAAAGAAACAGCAACAACAGTAACAACATTGGAACATAAGTGTTCGTCTACCCAACCCAATCGGAAGGAACAAGGGAAAATGAAATCAATATGTGCGTATTGTTCCGCAAGTTTTCCAAATTTTACCTTTTGCGCACATGCACAAGCATGTGGTTGTGTGGTCTTCTCGACTTCTTTTTACAAAAACTCCGTCCAAAAGGACTTATCTGCGTTGGTCAGCTGTCAGATCCCAACTTCATACTGACTACACTGTACACTGACGAGGTATGGAAAACCACAGATGTTTGGTGTATAGTATTTCCGCCACCATAACCACCACCATCATGAACAGCCATGTGGTCCCACAAATAAAGATCAAGACTCTTGAATTCAAGAACATAGTGAAATAGATGTCTGTGATTGCAGAATCTCTGCAATGGCAGCTGATTCCTCACAGAAGTTTGAGCGATCGGCCACTCAGAAAAAACATTTCACCCAGGAACCATTTCAGGAGAAATGATTGATAAAAAAAAATAGAACTACCTTCAGCAGGAGCAAATAGGGGATTTTGGTTAGTTTGAAGTGTTTTGGCATGTTCATTGACAGTATATTGAGCAAAGAATTATGGTAACTTGAGAAAATAAAAGCAGAATGATGTATATCCATATAAATTATTGTTTGATTGGATTTTTTATTATGGAGCGTCAGTTGTGTATCACTGATTACATATGGAGTTGTCTTTTAATCCCAGCTTTACCTATCAAGCTTGATAGTTCATTGAGTTGCCGCAAACAATGAACGTAAAAACTTTTGTTGTTCTATTTGAATAAACAAGTAAAACAATATGAGCAGAATTGATATTGGCCATCAAATTCGCGTGCACTCAATAGGCTGTCTACGCACATTAAATAGGTGAAATTTTTTATCATAAGAATACCATGTATGAACATTTACATAATTACATGGGTTCAAGCAGAAAGCACTGGGCGGTTGAGTCATTACCAAAGTCATTTTAGTATGGGTGAAAGAAGAGGAGGGAAATGTTAGCATAGAAACAATTACGTAATGGAAAACGATTAGCTGTGATGGAAAGAGAGTTGGACATGGTTATGTAACACGAAAAAGATACAACCAAAAATGAATTCGAAGAGACGTAGAAAATTAACGCAGTAAAAATTAGTCACTTAAGTAGGTCCAAGAGAGTTACGTAATAAGAAAATGAGAAGAGCGAGGTGTCAACGATGACGCAATAGAGCGGTTGGGATGATGATGATATTTTTTGTTCTTATGTCGATTGTGAAAAGTTCAGTAGTTTCGGTGGGATTCGAACCCACGCATGGACGCCGCGTGGGTGCGAATCCCACCGAGGCTACTGAACTTCTCACAATCGACATACAAACTTCAAATCTGCCAAACAACAATTTGATCATAAAACAGTGTTGAACGTTAGGAAATAAAAGTTATTCTCGGATAGATAAAGATAATTTCACCACTTAAAAGTGATTACTTTCCCTTATTCTTCCTTATTTTCCTAATTATTTTTATAAAATATGGATTTCCATATTTCGGCGCGAAAAGCCTCATACACACCACCGGTCATATTCCACCTTAATTGGTCCATTTCTTCATGGCTCTCTACTTTCTGGTTAACTTGCAAAGTCATTGCTGGCTGCTCCCAAAATTGTATATAACCAGACGAGTTGTCCATTGTCTTCGCCTTTTTGGCCGAGCCAAATGTGCAACCTCACCTGAAGGCTTGTCTTCCAATTTATCTCTGGTCGGTTTCGGGAATCGTACTAC